TTCTTTGTAGAGATCTAGTATAGAGCTGTATGAATGTGATAAAGCACGGGTTATTCTTTGTATAGATCTAGTATAGAGCTGTATGAATGGGTAATGAGGCACCGATTGTTGTAAAGAGCTCTGAGCATGTTGATCAGATAGAAAGGAGCTATATAAGTCCAGTCCATTTATTACTCTGCTTCCAACATGTCATAAGACAGATGATCAGATTTACTTGATGGACCATGCCTCTGAATTTAAATATTTTGCACAATACTCTTTTTGACATGTGATGAAATACAGCATTGTCCTGATAAATATTAATAAAACAACCACCTTCTAAATACAATTGGGTTTAAAAATATTAATCAAATAAAGTATTGTCTGCTCTGATTGAGTTTAAAAGTAAGCCACGTGTCTCTACATTCAGACAAGTTTCATTAATGAGCAGATGTACAAGTTCAAGAAAGTGAAATGCAACATGAACAACTTTTACATAAGAAATAATAATTAAAAATATTCAAAAATAACTATTTGATAAAGGCAAACCAGTAAGATCCATCCATCCATTATCTTTTACCCGCTTCTTCCATTTTGGGTCACGGGGGTCACCGGTGCCCATGTCCAGCAATCACTGTACGAGGGGCAGGGGACATCCTGGACGGGTCTCCAGTCCATCACAGGGACACCTGGACAGGTCTCCAGTCCATCACAGGGACACACAGAGACAAACAACCATTCACTCTCTCACCTAGAGACAATTTAGAGTTACCAATCAGCCTAACATGCATGTTTTTGGTCTGTGGGAGGAAACCGGAGTACCCGGAGAAAACCCACACATGTACAGAGAGAACATGCAAACTCCACCCAGAAAGGCCCCGGACTGGGATTTGAACCAGGGACCTGCTCGCTGAGAGGCAGCAGCTCTACCAGTTGCACCACCGTGCTGCCCCCAGTAAGAGTCAGTTAAATCTAAATACAGAACACAGTCAATCTTGACACCTTTTCAAAGATAAAGTGACGTCTGAAAAGATGCCGACAGGTGATTTGCAGATGTTGCTGAACTGAGGCTGAGCTTGGGTTCTGCAGCGACCCAACGCAACAGCAGAGCTGCTGGTGGACGTGTGCAGGACATTAATGGTTGTTGAGCTGCTCAAAGCTTTTGTCAGTAAATGAAATGTGATTTCATAAGAAGCCTCTTGGTTTACCTCAGCAGCTGAAACCGGCTGATGAACCCTTAATAATCCTGGTGGTCCCACATCTCCTGACATAAATGTCCTGCAGCAGTCCAACAATTTTCAGTCAGGTCATCTGGACAGTTTCTTTTTTTTGGTGCTGAAACGTTTCAGCACCAAAAAAAAGAAACTGTCCAGATGACCTGACTGAAAATTGTTGGATTGTATACAGTGAGTAAAATAAGTCTGTGAACATTCTGCGACTCCAAGTTCTCCCTCTTAGAAATCATGGAGGGTCTGACCCGTTCATCTGAGGTGCATGTCCTCTGTGAGAGACATAATCTAAAAGAACAAATCCAGAAATCACAATATATGATTTCTTTAATGAGTTATTTGTGTGTTACTGCTGTAAATGAGTATCTGAACAGCTGTCAATCAGCAACAGTTCTGCTCCTCAGACCTGCTAGTCCTCCTCTAAAGAGTCCACCTCCTCTGATTCTAAAGTAGAAGCAGCTGTTTGAGGTGGTCAGCTGCATGAAGACACCTGTCCACCCCACACAATCAGTGAGAGCATTGAAGATGGGTCGTGTCTGCTTCTTCCAACATGACAATGACCTGAAGCTCACAGCCAGGAGAACCAAGGAGTGGCTCCGTAACAAGAAGCAGATCAAGGTTCTGGAGTGGACTAGCCGGTCTCCAGACCTGAACCCTGTAGAAAATCTTTGGAGGGAGCTCAAACTCTGTGTTTGTCAGTGACAGTCCAGAACCTGGTGATCTAGAGAAGATCTGTGGAGGACTGGACCAGAATCTGCTGCAGTGAACCTGGTGAAGAACTACAGGGAACCTTTGACCTGTGTCACTGCAAACAAAGATACTGTAGCAAATATTAACCTGGAGTTTCTCACGTGTTCAAATACTTATTTACAGCAGTAACACACTAATAAATGATTAAACAATCATACATTGTCATTTCCAGGTTTTGTTTTTAGATTATGTCTCACAGAGGACTGCACCTCAGATGAACGTGTCGGACCCTCCATGATTTCTGACTGGGAGGAGTCGCAGGATGTTCAAATACTTATTTTACTCACTG